ATACCGTTGCCTCACGTGATGTGATTTTCTACGAGAGACTGACGCTGTAACATTACCTGGACAACATTGCCAACACAACAGACCCCACCGACGGCTTCGAAGGCCATCGGTCCTTTGCCGACCGTGCTGCCGAAGCTGACGCAGCCGAAGAAGACGTACCTGAAGCCTCGGCAGCTGCCGGACCACTCCCATGCTGCTCCGTGCCAGTTCCACTCGACGAAGACAATCCTCTCGATAGTAACAACCTCGACACCTATTACCACTTCGCTGACTAGGGTTACACTACACCACAACCGGTCGACACAAATATCTCTGAATGCATCGGACCCAATTTCTTACCTTACCCCGAAGATGGTGACGAAGCAGCTTATCCCGAGAATGACAATTCCCCTCGACACACACCCACAGGCCTGCAGATACTTGGACTATGGGTCGCCGTCCAGAGCCCGCCGCCGCCGTCGCCGCGCGAGCCAACGACTCTGTCACGGGCTCTGGGGGGGGAACACAAGGCGAACTGGAAGGAAGCAATGGAAAAAGAACTGAAGGCCCTGCAAAACCGAAATACGTGGAAGCTGGTACCTGCAACAAAAACCAACGGGAAGAATGTGCTCTCGGGAAAATGGGTACACCGCATCAAGACTAATGCGGATGGCTCCATCGATCGCTTCAAGGCTCGCTACGTTGTACGAGGATTCGACCAGCGATACGGAACCGACTACACAGAGACATACGCCCCAGTCTCCCGACATACCTTTCCTGCGCATTTTGCTCGCCGTCGCGGCCACGAAAAAGCTACCACTGCGCCAGATCGATGTCGCCAACGCCTTCCTGTACGCACCTGTGGACGCTGAAATCTTCGTCGAGCAGCCCCACGGATTCATCAACGATCCCACAAAAGTGTGCCAGCTGGTAAAATCCCTCTACGGAATCAAACAAGCCCTGCAACTCTGGTAGCAGCACCTTCACGGCCACCTCGTCAGGATCGGCTACCTGCAGCTGCCGCACAATCAAGGGATGTACCGACTACAGAAGGGGGGGGGGGGGGGTTGTCCTGCTCATCGTCTACGTCGATGACCTGCTCTACGTTGGCTCCACTACCGACGTCATCACCAGGTTTGAAGGGGAGCCGAAGAGTGACTTAACGCTTTCGGTGTCAGACACCGTGAGCCAGTACCTAGGTCTGAACGTCGTCGAAGACGACTCGGCGTTCTACCTACACGCCAGAAAGTACGCAGGCGTTGTCGTGAAGAAGTTCGGACTAACGTGGGTCGCAGTCGCGACTCCCTATCGCTACGGGAACAACAGCGATACCACCGCAAAGCTCCCCGCGAAGCAAATCCAGGAATATCAACAGAACCTCGGCTGTCTACTGTTCGCAGCAGTAACCTGCCGACCGGATCTGTCCTACAACACGAGCCAGCTGGCGACACACCTGAAGCGGCCGGAGCAAGAGCATCTCGAGGAACTAAATCGGGCACTGCTCTACTTCGTCTCTACGCTGACGACCGGACATACCTACAGCAAAGCAACATCATCGTCCGCACAACTACTCGACTATGTCGACGCCGACCACGTGGGAGATAAGGAGAGTCGGTGCTCTAGAACCGGCTAGATCTACCGACTAGAGCCTATCGGTACTATTTCCTGGCAATCGAGCAAGCAGGAACTTATCGCGCTATCCTCGGCTGAAGCGGAATACATTGCCCTCTGCTCTGCGACCAAAGAAGGACTTTACCTGCTGGAGCTGCTCGAGGAAGCGAAAATTGCGACCATGCCCGCCTTCTCGTTATTCTGCGACAACCAATCCGCGATCAAAATCGCGAACAAAAACGGGTTCGCCAATCGAACCAAGCACATCGCTCTGCGGTACTTCTTCGTCAAGGATGAGATCGCGAAGGGGAGACTTCAACTCAGTTACTGGCCCACGACAGAAATTTCTGCAGATTACCTGACGAAGATACTTGCAAAGACAAAGTTCGATTACTGCTTGCTGCTGACAGGGCAGATAAACGTCACCGAATCCGGACACGTCAGCACTCCTGAAACGAAGGGGAGTGTTGGAAATACCTCGAAGACTTAAGCGTTTCTGAAGTGTAACACTACACTTGAGGAAAGTCGTATCGAGTACACGAGCCAACGGAGGTTACACGAGGAGGATGGGCGAAAGAACACGAAAGGACGAAGGGACTCGAAAGGTCGCAACCGGAGGTTGCGACTGACCGTTACAACTGCAAGGGTGGTAACCAAACTGACAATCGAGTCGCTATGCGACTCGATAACCGTTCCTTCAACTGTATTCTACAACTGCTTCATCTCTTATTTCTATATATTGCTATTTGCTTGTTTCTATAATCAATCACTTGCTCTCACATACTAGTGCAAGGGTTCAACTACTCAACACTTCCGCTGCACTACTCAAGCATTCTTGTACAAGTGGGACTTAGTCTCTGGAAAGATGATAAGGGCTTTTATCAGCCCAATACAGACATTTTTCAGAGTATTTTTTGGGGTGTACTCAGATTGCTAAGACATTTTTGTGTACCTTTGATCTTTTCGGAGAAGAATGTTGTACCTACGCTGATTTTTTAGACCTTTTATCCTAGTGTACTCTAATGCGTCAACCCTACATGGGGGGGAGACTCTGATTCTGTCTAATACCGATACCATTTAGGGGGGGGTGGGGGGGGTGGGGGAGGGGGGGGATGGAATTTGCGCTGGTACCCTTGTGGAGGGCACTGGCTGGCCCTTAGCCAAAAACAAGGCGTGATGCCTGTTGGGGGCTTTGTTGTGAGGGCGTTACTGGCCCTTCACCAAAATTAACACCCAGTTTGTGCTGTGGCGGTGTGAGGGGCTGATTGGCCCTTCACAAAGAAAGAATGATTGCTGGGGGCGTGATGTGTGATGCGGTTTGTGTGTAGTACGCCCATTGGCCCTTTACGAGATTGCCACCTGGATGGCACCGATTTCCCCTGCAATTTTGATTCGCCCCCCCTTTCTGCCCCATCCCACGTTAGTCCCCCACACACAATTCGCCACGAACTAGTATCTTCTCTACCCACCAACCTATTTCGTCACCCAAGCTGGCACGTGAAATTACTAAACGGGGGCTGGGTCTGGGCATTCCCGAGAAGTTTGAGGGCAGTACGAAAGGGAAATCAGCGTAAAAGTCCTGGGTGACTCTGATTGATCAGACAAAATTCTCTCGTCACTCTGATGTTTCAGACTTCTTTTTTAGGGGTGATTTTGACGGCCATACCAAGTTACAGTGGGCAAGTCTGATGAATCAAACATCCCCTTTAGCCTAG